GAGTCGAGAGGGTAATATAGGGTCGTCGGTCACCGGGGTTTCCAGCCTTGTGAAGAACAACTCTGCTCATGACGACTGTTAGTGAATGACTGACTCAGTTTAATAGTGGCCGTCTTTAGTTAACATAGTCCTTTAGTCGACGAATCACTTCTGAAAATAATAGTAAAAACGTATTTGTTGGCAAGGTAGTTTGAACTTAGGTGGCCCTTAAAAGAACCGATGAGATTGATGGTTAAATAGGTAATGTCAATATTTATTATGGCCCCTAAAAAGGGCAAGTGGTGAGATTTTCAGCTATTTCTTATTATTATTCTTGATAATAAAGAGCTGGCCACAGGTAGCTTGAGTCTTACCCTCGAAATCTCTGTGCACGGAGACTGTGATTGAGGAAGGTGCGCTGCTGACCAAAGAATATCTAATCCTTAGGTCGTTCTCCAGATGATCAACCACTTAATGTTAGTTGGAAAAGTGGACCTAAAAAATGTCTTTTCTGTGAGTATGTCGTTGAAACGACTTTTAAGAAGGAAGCCGTTGTGACAGCTCGAGCTATTCAGAGCTGTCTGCCCTAGCTTACATTTGTTATAAAGAATTCTTTGATGGCACCAGGCTGGATGGTGGAATCGCCACATAACTCTGAAGTGTTAGAGCAGGTTGTGCTCTTGCTAGACACGTCTTCTGATATTTTGTCAGAGACGTTATTGGTTAGAATAGTGATTTATTTGTGGCACTCATCAATTCTGAAGATTTAGGGTAGAAGTAGACCTATAATAGTGTAAAGCTGGAGTATTTTTCAAAACCTTTAAGCTTGTTCATCGCTGTTATTATTAAATTTTTTAAGATAAAGACTATACTCAAACCATTCATGAAGTGTCAAGAATCGGTATGCAAAATATTAGCAAAATCGGTTTAATAGTTTTCGCAATCAGCATTAGCCAGGAGAGTCAACTGTAAAGGGGGATGTCAGTCAGACACAACCTATACTTAAGCACTCCTAACTTGCTTTGATTTAATATATTCGTATGTCAAATGCACTATTGAAACTTATAGTGACATATCATAGTATACCCTTAGTACATTGAAAATAACTACATAAAAAACCAAACATATCTCATAATATTATATAAATTACTTTATCAAATACAATTGTACCCATAACAATGTATTTTAAACAACTTTTTAGAAATATGTTGTTTAACATACAGTTCTACCTTATTATCTAAGTGTATTTAATAAAGCAATTCAAGTGGTTTGCCTAATTATATTTAAATTTAACTTTATTATTCTAAATACCTCGATAAAATCCAATGGTTGTTTAAAATATTATTTAGTATAACTTAAATGTATAAAATCAAATCTATTTGGAGCCACGCTAGTATAAGTTTTTCCTCATTAGTTTTTTCACTGACAGTACATTCTTCTGTTAAATAAGCAGTGGCTCCTTATATAATTTCAATAATTTATACATGTACAGTCACTAAAGTTGACAGATGTTTTTTAATAAAATGATGGCTCACTAAATACGATTTTTCTTTCGCGAACACAAATGCTCCAGGACTAAAACTTGCTCTTTACTATTTTTGGCTTCATAACACCCTATAATTTTTTTTAAAAAATAACTGAATAAAGAAGTCAAAATTTATGAATATTTATCCCTATAACCTTAAACCTTTCATTAATGTTTGAATTTACGCTTATCTGTATTGATGTCATATTAAAGCTGATATTTAATGCAAGAATTGTGAGTATGACGAGTACAGGAAAATAACACATGGAACACACATTTTCGTCATAGCAATTGCATGTAATTATTTGCATTCAACGTATAAAAATATGATAAAGAGGAAAAATCTGACGTATTTTAAATTCAAAACTTGTGTAAGTTTGTATCGACTATTATATATAACTTAAAAAACAGGTCACCGTATACAGCTAAGGACAACAATGGTTTAAAATATATTACAGAAAGGAGATTAAAAAGACATACAATACTTTTACTTGATTAAATAACAAACTTATTAATCAGATTTTCTTAAACACTGTGGAGATACTAAGACAGTGGCATTTATTACGAAAGTAGTGCGAGTAATGCAGTAGTTGTGAAGGGCTTGCAAGGGAGTAGTGCATTTACAAATGGATGGGGGTAGGAGGCCTACAATAAGAATAATAAAAATTTTATTGGATTAAAATAGCAGACAAACATGTTTGTATTATCCATGTATCAAATTTACTTCCTTGTTTACAAAATTTTTTTACAAAAAACAGATCCTGAGTTGGTTTTCTCAAGTAGTCAATCTATAGTTTTTATAAAATATTGCTTCTTATCATGAGTTTCTACGTCTGCACTTTTGAAAACAAGAACTTTACCTAATATTTTAGAAACATCATTTTATTTACAACAAAATTTCTTATGAGCATTACTGACATGATGGCGTGGTGGTAGAGTTTCAGTTTGTTAATTATCAAAGTGAAGCAGAATTAAACGAGGCAAGTTCTTGGATCAGTGACTATTTTTATATTACTGTCTTGCCTTTGCAGTTAATTTTTAAGGATTGATTCACTTTTTTCTTTAAGATCAATCAACATTATCATAATGTATGCAGGAATTCATTCTAGCTTGTAAACTTTAACACTTTTGCAGAAGCGATACAGACATGTGTTGTCAGGCTTAGTCTCGCCCATCTTCTCCTATCGTTTCTTTCTTGTCTATTCTTCAGTACTAAGTACTTTAAGTATAGTCAGGTGATTGTTTATCACTATTATATAAAGAAAAAAATACTTGCCTTACATTGGTCTTTGACTTTACCATTTTAACCTCTGTCCCCTCTGCTAATTTTTAATTTGGTTTTGCCCTGCACTTTGTCCCCATACTAATTACTGTCGCTCTTACCAAATCTTATGAGAACAGTAGTAACGAGCACTTATAAATTAGTTTTTTTCTAAGAATCGCTGTTATCACCTAATGAATTTGTCACTTAGGAATGAAATGTACTAGATTTTTTTTTGGCACCTTATGGGTCACTATTGATGTTGAAGAAAACAGATTTAGGAAAAGAGTTTTTTAGTGAAAATTTTCTCTATATTTCGTTAATGATGTTATGTCATGAAGTTAAAAAGATGAAAAACTAACTAACGTAGTGTATCAGTATGTGACTCAGGATCTTAGGCATCTATTGGAAGTTGATCAATAATAACAAGAAGATGAAGGAATATAAAAATATTAGAGAATTCCAACAGGTGACATAGTAAGTATTTATTAAGAATGACAAAATATGATCAAAAAATTATCATAGTTGTATCTAGGTTGTGGTGAGGCAATGGTTTCTGACTATTATTTCTGTACATATATCACTTCAGTAGGACCAGAGTATTAAGAACCCATAGTATACTGACCTCACTTTTTACTCTACTTTTTAGCAGGGATGCTTGGAATAAATTCAGCATTGAGTCATTTGATTCCAGAGATACCTGCTATATCTATGTGTTTTCAGGCAAATGTTAGCTTCTTTGATAAAATATAAACACTTATATTTTGCTTTTACAGATTATCTATAAAGAATTAAGTTTTGTGAGATGTTGCAACTTAAAAAAAATCATTTTAATCGACATATTTATTATAACCTTTATGATGTCTTTCTTTTTAATATAGAGAGAAAAGCTTATATGTTTTTCTGAACCTCAAAGAAATAATTAAAAAGTTTTATTATTGTGTTGTTAGTAACAAAAAAGTAAGTCGTTGTGAACCATGTGCTATTCTCAGAGAATGGATTAAATGAAAAAAACTATTTTGTATGTCTAATTCCATATTTTCTTAGTTATTACTTGATAAACAACTGGAATAGTTTTGATTTCGTTGAATGCTCTTAAAGCGTTGACACTTTCTATGCATACAATAACATTTCTAAATTAACGATTTTTAAAAAAAATTCACACAAAACATAAAATCATAAAATTTTTTTTAATTTCAAGGGTTCTTTTGAAAGCTCTAGAGATTTAAATATCAGCAAAATGGCAAGAGCAGAAAATTTAATTTGTAGTATGATTTAGTTTAAATAATAAAGTTTTGCCACTCAAGTACATGAACCAATAGAAGTCTGTCTTCTATTTAAGTTTCCTGGAACATCAAGGATTTGTAGAGTTATTTTCTGGAAATAGTAATAAATACTTATTTCAACAGTTGAAAATAATATTTTATTGGTGTCTTAAACTATTTATTGTAACGGCAAATTTCGTACAAATATTATGTAATACAAAGTAAAAAATTAAATGTCTATGTTAAAGGTCAATAGTGAGGTGTACAAAGTTAATGGTAAGATTAAAAAAAAATATCTAAAGCCAAGTACTAAATGAATTGTGAAAACGGTATTAAAAGTGTGGCGAGCATCTCGACCATAGGTCACATTATCTGGCTAATTTTATATTAACTTGTTTTTCAAATTTTGTTTTAAATCTCCCGAAAAACTAGCGTGATCTAAAGAAGAAGTGCTAAAACCTAACATGGTTTTAGTAATTATTACTTTTTATGCGAAAGAGGTGTTAGCGTGGAAGTTGGTGGTTGTTCAGTTCCCAGGATTTTGTTTTTTATTACATTTCCAATGAAAAAAAAAATTTGAAAACTTTTTTTTGTAACATTTGCTCGTAAACTGAATCTCACGTTTTAAAATAAAAAGTTCTGGGTAAAAGTTTGACTTGGTTAGTTTTCTTTTAAGAAAAGTTGTGAATGTTCATATTATGTTATAAACATTTAAGTTATTGATAATAACTGAGCAACTCCTTATACGACTGAAAACCTTGAAAATTTGGATCCAGGAGGTCAAAATAAATAGAGAAAAATTTTAATGTTTAAGTGAACCTTCATCAGTGGCCGAACTTCCCAGGCCCCTAGACTGAAGAAAATTTTTGTTAAATAATGCCATACTGCTAGTCCAGAATTTGGTCTTTAAATTTTCTATTTAGTTATTGAACTGTTTTTGCATAAAATTAAAAGAAAAGTGAGTAATTACCTTTTTGACGTTGTTATTTTTTGCACAGGCAGTAAATGCTTCTTTTAAAAATTCTCTGTTGTATACGGTTCGTGGCAAAGGTTTGACGCAACCTTGTTTAATTCCATCGTGTAACAATTTTTTCAGTAATTTTCTTACCTCAAGGCCATACGAAGCTACTTTTCTCGGAATAACTGAACACAATTTTATCTCTTTCAAAAATACTTCCATTCCAATGTTTTCAAAAATAACATTGTCACTCAAATCGTTTATTATTACAACTCGAGCTTTTCGCTTTATTACTGAAAAAAGCTCTACCATTGTTCTTATTTTACAATCATTGCAAATAATAACATCCACACCCTCACCCATCGTAGCCAAAAAGATATTATCTGGTATGCTATTTTCAGATAAGTTGAACAATCGGTTGTTAAGCAAATGGGGTGCTATTGCCGTTAAGACCTCTTTTTCTTTTTTTGTTTGGTACGTTACAAAAACATCACAACTCTTGTGCAGGGCTAAATTTAAAATAGCTAATCCTGGTCCATCACAAGAGTTTATTATTAAAATTTTTTCCTTAGCTTTTACCTGTGTTTTTATATAAAGTACTGTGTATGCTATAATGTATGCAAGAGGAACTGTTGCTGCATCTTCTAAGCTCCAGAATTCCGGTACCTGCCAAGTCCAATCAGAATCTATGTTGATGAAGTTTGACATCGAGTTTCCATTTGATATTCCCATAATGCGGTTTTCCTCGAAATCAGTTCCAGAAAACTCTAGTCCAATAGTTTTTGGTACTATTTTTTTTTTTGCTACTTTTTCAGAGATATCTGAAAAGAACAATCCTTCTGCTATCAATATATCTTGCTTATTTAGTGCTGAAAACTTAACTTGAATTAAGTTACGTGTTTTTTTTCTATTTAGACTTTCTGTCCAAGTGAAGTTATGAGGATCATTAGAAGATTCTTGATGAGCAATCCAATGGTCACTTGATTTAGAGTCAACACTTATCTTTGTACGTCGCAAAGTTGCCCACACATTATTCTTTGTTAAAACATTTATAAACAAATCTGTCTCCAATTGACGTTTACAAAGATTTTCAAGCTCTGATTTTTTCAATTTATTAAGGTTCTGAGAAATAAAAATTCTTATCTTTTCGACGTTAATTTCTTTCGTTATATAATGAATGCATGAAGTAACATATTTCATATTTTTTGATTCAATTATAACTATAATACGAGCACTATCTGCGCTTATATTCTGATGTTTGATTTCAGTAACTATTTGAGTTATATCTCCAGATTCATACAAGATTTTACTTAAATCAAGTGATTGCCTTTTACGGAATAATAACAAATCATTGTTAGCATGTTTTCTCATTAAAACAATTTTTAAACCAATTGACTCTACAAAATTTTTAAATAAATCTGTTCGGTTACTATTTACGATTAACAAAAGGAATCTATTGTTTTCTATGCAATGTGATAGTTTTTGTAGGTCATAATTTCTCACGTCATCCACTACAATGGTCAGAATTTTATTAAACTTAGTATTCTCATAAGAAATGATCTTTGTTTTGAAGAAAGCCGCTTCAGGCGTATTGTACATTGCATTTTGTAATGTATTCAGGTCTGATAGGTTATTACTTTTGACAATCTCAATTTCTTGAATTTTCGGGGAGAAAATGTTTTCCAAAACTACTTGTAAGATTACTCGTAAGCTGGTACTAAGAAGTGTATCTGACTTATCTATGTTTGGAATGACGTTGTAGTAATCATTACAAATAATTTGCTGTTCCAACATTTTTGGTATAACAGTAAACTGAGGCCCTTGTATTTCTAATCCTCCACATGAAAAACAATTAATATCTTTCCAAATATAAGCTTCGACACCTGCAAGCAAAATTATATGCATAAGTTTATCTGACGATCGTAAGTAGAAGAATTATAACATGATTTTAAACTTTTACATAAGTAAATCTATACACGACAAACTTTTTATTAAGAAAGCAAGTAAGACAACAAAAATCTGTATTGTTTTTATTGAACTTAATAAAAGAGTTATATTCGTAAACATACTCTGACAGTTAACCGATAAGACATTTGTGAGTCAACTATATTATTTAAATAATATAATGTATAAAGTAAATATGCAAAGAGTCATAGACTGGAGACAACAGTGTCAAACTTTAATAAAGTAAAATAATAATAAATATCGTATATTAATTTTTTAATTTTATTTTTCATACAAGAAAGGTGCTTCTTTTATTAAGTTAAATGAAAGATTAGAAGGATTGCACTGTCTGTTATAACTACCTCTTTATTTGTTTTGTTCCTGCTTGTTTAATGTTGAGTTATGTTACTTTATGTTACAAAAATTATAAATATAGCTTAAAAATAGAATTTCTTAAATTATTGTGATAAATGGAGTAATGAAAATTGTAGTTTCTTAATAATGTAATGATAAATAGTCTTACTATTGACATCACACATTACAGTTAGGGTACATGCACGTTTGAGCAATTCACCTTGCATGGTACCGCACCCCCTACATAAGTCTGAGTTTGTCACTTGGACTTTTCAACTTATAAAAAGAACTGAGTATTTTCACTGATGATTAACATGATAGCTATTTGATATTATTTATGTCAAGTTATGAATTTAGAAAAAAATCCTTCAAAAATGCCCTTTTCATACAGTTCGAAGAAGATGAGTCAACACAAAGAATTATTTCATTTGTCTTAAAATTTTACGACCTTTTCAAATAAGCACAGTCAGTATTTAATCATGAAAATAGAGCACTAAAACTCAAAAGATTTAAGCAGTCAGATAGATTTAAAAAAGTTTATTCACGTTTTATTCGTTATACTGTGAAAAAAATTTAAGACCTAGATTGATTCTGTAGAATTTAGAGCTATGAATTTTGCGTACATAATGTTTGCATAATATGCAGACGATGGTTGTATTTTCATATGACTGTAAAAAAAAAAGCTTACCATTTGGTAAACAATAATAAAAATATGTCCAAACTCATTTTTCAGGGGCTTAAAAAGATGCCAAATACAAATATTAAGACAAAAACAAGCACCGTGGTAAACAACGCTCAGAGTAAACAATATCGTTCTCTTCTAAAATTGTCTAAAAATTAATAATATCTTATCGTTAAAACAGTTTTCTGGTATACAGGTAACAAAATAGGAACAACGAGATGGTAATGCAACGTGTTAATAACACTATAACTTTTCTTTTTTAACACAAATCATAACTTCTGCAAATAGTGATAATTGATAAGGAAAAAAAATTGTTTTTTTGTTATTAGATCAGTAAGATATAATTGATTTTTGAGTTCCAATATAAGTCAACAGATAATTCTAACTTGAATGTTATAGTCTCCATTCAATGAATATTAAATAAATTGTAACACAACTTCTGCATGGACATTTTAAGTTGGAATATGATAAATAAATATTTTATGTAGCTGCCGATTAAATTTTGTCCATGATGTAAGATGCTTAATTTTACGACTACTGCAGAAAGAAAAGTATAATAACTTAAAGGAAATGCAGCAAAATTATCATAAATATGTATGCCATAACTCGCTGAGCTCTACTTGCTCATTTTTTGTGTTATAATTACAATAAATTAAGTGTATATAGCACTATAGAAATCGATTATTCCTAAAAATATCAGTGAATAAGTAGTAACGAGACTATTGTTGTGAACTCTCGCTTACACTTTCTTTGTTGTTGTCTTGAGTTGGATTAGTTGAAAATAAACGAAAATTACACTGATAGTTAAAATTTTTTTATTACATATTTATATTAGCAAGGTGTTTAGATATGCCAGTATAATTTCACCTGTACTCCAAATGCAAACAGAGAGAGAACTCAAGCAACGCGCAGTACACACCTCAGCAGTCTCATGCTTTCTCTGACGCCAAATGTTCAAACGGATACAGCTCACACAACACTACCTCACCGAGCATAGATGCTTCCAATCTTATACCACTTTCTAGTTACACTGCGTATAGTTAGACCGTGGCATCCCTAAGATTCAGCTATCCTACGTAGATTTGGACTCTCAAATTTTAAAGCAAAGGATTCACAACAATTGAAAACAAATAAACAATAAAAATACAGCTTTGACTGAGTAGAGTTTCATTGTCTTTCTCTTTCTTTTGTTTGATCAGTTGCAAGCTTTAAATCCATATTACTCAAAAAAAATGTGGGTTGCGGAACAAATGGAAGAAGCAAGGCTTCGAGAAGGTTTTGATAAATAAACTGTTTTCTTATTTTTTATTGTTCTTAGACACTTAACGTTATTTTATTTTAAAAGTACAAAGCTTGTTAGTGCTTAATAATTATTTTATATTTATAAAAATTTATTGCCTGTTCATTTGCCATCTTGTCTTATATAGTTTCAATTTCATTCTTTCAGATTTTTGCGCCATTTAAAAACGTCACATTTATATATATTCTGGATTAGAAATTTCAACTAGGCTATTTACCTGAAATACAGATGACAAAATTACATATGTTATTACTTTAGGACAGCTTTACGGCATTTTTTGTGGTCTTACATTTGGCTTTACACAAGGGGGTTTGAATTAATGATAGTATATGTAATCCCGGATAGAAGAACACACGAAATCTCAAAACTACTAATTAAAAAAAAAAAAAAAAAGATTTCATCCGGAAATAGTTACAGAATACTTTAATCTACTACACTTTCAATACTAAGAAAGTTTTGTTATTATTTTCCGAAGGATGTTGCCTAGTCAATGTATTTTTTGGTAGATAACTACATTAGTGATACCTTAAATGAAATGAATAAGCACAGCAGAATACTAACTTTATAAGTGATTTTTAAAGAAATTTTAAAATATTTTAATGCTTGAATCTTTAAAAAGTGTTGGAACAACATGGGTTTAAATACTTTACAATTACTTGTTGAATAGTTCTTCGCCATTCCTGTGAGTTTTGTTAACATTTTTTTATTATCATAGTTTTAAATGCTGATTTGGCAGCTGTCTCATAAGGGTCTATGTTATGGACAATTGTTTATCGTGTTATTTTTTAAAATTTGATATAATATAGGATATTAAATAAAATTCAGAGCAGTCTTAATATTACTTCTCCTAATTTTCACAAGATTCTTTTATTATTTTATGTTAGTAGATAACGTTCTTGGATAGCAAAAAAATGTGTTAGTATATCGCGCTTTGAAAATTACTAGAGTCGAATAAGAATTATTAAAGTGTGTTTAATGTAGATATTTTTAAATCATCAAAGTCTCATTCATCTATTATACAGTTAATTACTTAGTTTCTTCGAATTACGGCTGTTTTCTTTCAATTTCGAAGATTTCTGAAAATTCTATTGAAAATTATTTTATAAGCTGTACCTACGTATATGTATAAAATAATTACTTATGTATAGGGAAGAATTACGTAGAAAATTTTTCATCGGGGTTTTTCGACGTTTTACTGGCTCAAATTTTCTTGACAATTCGTACTTCACCTGTTTTTTTTTTTTTTTCTGCCCTTCGGTGATATCCAAAGAAAGAAAGAAATAGAGAATGCACACGCGCCTGCTACTGTATATAACATGAATAGTACTATCACTGTCAAGAGAGCATGTGGTGGTAGGAGAACGAACAGGAACAAGGGACGCAAAGAAAGTGTGACGCTTTTCCCTTTTTTCGTCAAGTGAGGGTCCTACATAAAAAGCTTTGCCTAAAAAAACTCGTAAGATAATAAAATTAAAGATTAAAAAAAAAAAAAGTATTTAGCCGGGTAAAAGTGAACAACCATTATATCGTAATAGAACCGAGTTGACTTTTTACGATCACGATTTGGCCGAGTCTTAAGAGGAGATTACCCCTTGGCCTCGCCAACCTGGCTCGCTTGCTCAGGACTCCCTTTTTTGCACTCATTAGCTGATACACTTTCTTTGCTCGACTCCATTAACTCGCTATCGACGTCTGCCCAATTCTTAGTTTTGAGTGACTCGTTAGTCCAAACATTAAGCTTGCTTACATGTGCTATGGTAACAAACTCTCATTCCTTAGTCTTGTTTAAATATTTCACATAGTATGTATCACTTGGACCCACCCCTACCACTACTAATCGTTTCACAAATAAAGGTTTCAACTTAGTTAAATGCCTAGTGGCAATCGAAGCACACATCATGACAACAATGTTACCTAACTTAGGCACTGCTGCTTTTAATCTATTCTTGTCATACTATTTCTTGTAGAATATCTGGTTTTGTTCGATTCTTTTGTGAACGTTACATTAAATTTTACTAGGTAGAAAATATCTGTGAGTAATATCGGATAATTTTTTTTACTGATATTTAAACGTAGTAGGTATCCCATAATGTTTTAGAAGGAGTTTTGTTAGTCACTGTACCCACACTCGAATTAATATCTCATTCAACCGTTTTCACGTTAATGATTAATGTGAACAATATTGAAGAGACGACGCCCCAGTAAAATTGGATGAAACTCTTCCTTACAGTTGTACTATTGCCTAGTGAAAACCAAGATTCATGATTTGTTCTTTTAGGATTAGTAAACTGTGATGCTCTCATGTACAGATTGAGTAGGGTATTAAGGTCTAGTTTTGAAAGATCTTCAGTAATTTCCATGTCATTCGTGAAAAGTTTACTTATTTCTTGGTTGAAGTTGGTAATAGATTTTTTTTTGCTAAATGGCAGTTTTTATCTTTAAGAGATATAAATTTTGAGTAGGCAAATCTTTTAAAATATCAATTATTAACTTATTTTGACAAACACTTCCCAGCTAAAAATTTGTCATAAGTTCTTACATAAGTTCTTATGTAATTTCTTATGTAATTTCTTACGTATGTTCTTATGTAATTTCTCAT